TCTAGAACTGGTGCATACAAGGACAAACACTTACCTTCTCTTCTTTTTGCTCCAAAAACCAGATGCTCCCATCAGCCTTAAAATACACAATCCACCTTGAAAGTAACTACGAATGTCGAATGTCGAGACAGTTTGTATTCCATTCTTTTTCGCTCTCTGCCCTCTTTTAGCGTAGGATTAAGTTGCCGAGCACGTTGCTGCAAGCTGTAGCCCCCCGCCTTAGTGAATCGGTCACGTTTAGGACCCTCTAAGTCCATCCTAATTCTGCCAGTAGAATTGAGGGTATTGGAGCTCTAAACTTTCAAAAGGAAAGGGGCCTGCAACTCTCCGGAAAACTTTAAAATCCCCTGAAATTTTTTACCATTGATATTTGCACCACATTACCAAATAGTATTTACCAAGAAATATTAGATGTTTCTTTGAGGAAAGTTTGTTGTTGGGTTGCTTTTTTGTTTTTTGTTGTTGTTTTTGTAGTTGTTTTGTTTTTGTTTTTTCAGTTTATAGTTAGCTATACATTAGACACATGGAGTAAAAGGCAGGTTTGTATAGGCATTTAGCAGAATGAGTATATTTTTCCATAAGGCTTGCTGTACCATATGTCTTTAAAAAACAAAACACTACTACAACTGAGAAAGAAAGGAAATAGAAGTTTGAATTTAAATGTTGTGAAATAACTTAAAAAGAGACTTTTTTGAAATTTATTATTGTAAAAATTGGTCTTTGAAGTGAAAAGTAATCTTTCAATATTAAAAGACTTAATTTTCACTGTATAATTCCAAAAGAGAAAATAAATTTTTCTGGTTAGTAGGTAGTGTTTAGTGTCCTGCCTGCCAGGCACTGCAGCCCAAACCTTGTTTAAATCTGATTATGATGTGATTTGCTGATGTCATGAATATGAAATGATACTTGTATATCCATAAATTCGAACTTGTGATTTTTTGATCTCCCGCTTTTTGTGTGTTCCCAGTAGCTGCAGCAGTGGAAGACAGTGATTGGCTCCAGGGCTCCTAGAAGGATTTGGGCTGAAGCCAGGGGAACAGAACCAGAGGATTCCCTTTCCAGGGACCTCAGGCAGCTCCTGTCTTGTCTTTCTTTTCTCCCCTCCCGGGTGCTCAGGAGCTCAGCATGGCTCCAGCAGCCCATAGGTAGGCCTCAACACTTAGTGTCATCACTTCAGTCTCTACACATGTGGCCTTCGTGTAAAATAAACACAAACTGGGGCAACCCAAATAAATTATTGTTCTTGAGATTTGTGTATTATTTAATATATAAAGGTCGAACTCTACTTTCTCTGATTTTTCCCCTTACATTCAGGTTCAATTGTGAAAGGTCCTTGTGTCTCATAGGAAAATATTGCAACAAACAAGATAATTGGGGGGAAAGGCGGTTGCAGTAAGAAAAGTGGTTTTTCTTTGATAGTATTTAATTGGAATTAAAAGATTCTTGAGCTGTAAACATTCTTTATTTATTCAGCACACATAAGCAGGCATTGTTTTATCACCATCATAATTATGGTGTCCTTTAAACTGGCTGATAGCAGGAAAGATAAGGGAATGTGCCTGCAGATCATATCAGGTCTCACTCCTTTCTTTCTTTCCTTTCTTCCCTTCCTCCCTCTTCTGTGTCTCCACAGCTTCCCCCTACCCCCATTCCTTCCTTGGTCACTAGGGTCCCCCACAGCCCTTGAGATGAGAAGAGCAGGAAGATTGTGGCCTAACCATTTCTTACATCATGAAAGTAATTTGTACCACACTCTAATTTGATGCAATCCATAACCTCCTTGTCTCCTGTTTATAACTGCTTTTTAACTTGCAATATGTGTTATCTGAAGAGTTGCCTATTGCTTACCTGTGTAAAATCTCATCCACTAGGGTTTCCTGCTTTACCTTTGTCTCATTTAGAAAGCATACTCTTAGGGCTTTTTCAGAACAAAGCCTCACAAAACCCCTTTACCTCCAAGGATTTGCAAATTTATAAAGGCTGCATTGAATTCAAGATGGGTCAGGGGGCAAAAAAAGGGTAGAAGGTCACTGCATTTTGATTATGGGTCAGTAGACAACATGGCATATACTCTGTGTCCCAAACTTCTGTTAAGAACAGGATTTTTAAATGGCTAAGAACAGAAGGATGGCCCCCTTTGGAAGACTTGCCCCTGATATGTTTGAATGAGACAAAAAAAAAATAAGGAAAATATATCAAATTATAATTTAAGTTATTCTTCATTTTAGCCATTTCATCTTTGTCCATTCCCATTTTCCTCTTCCAAAAGTATAGGTGTGATATTAGATAAGTTTAACCAAGAAACTGTTGAGATTTTATTCTCCTGTATATTCCACTAATTCAGCCATATGAGACTTTATTATTATTTTAGACTTCATATTGTAAATATTATACATACTTTTAGTTACTAGTATAAGAGATTTCTTTTATTCTTCTAACCAGTATATTTACATTGTTGAGGCCTTTGAGATGTTCCTTATTCTTTTCTGTCTGAATTCACTGTGAACAAAATATGCCCAGCAATCACTAAAACAAATGTATATGGTGAAGAGTTAGGTGGTGGGGGTGGGGGGGTGATCCTCATTTAAATTATGTATGTATGGGTGAGAGAGCTTGGAAGGAAAAGGATTATTTTAATGCTCTTCAATACTTTAATTATATGACAGTTGTAGTGTAGAAATGCAAAAGTACTCTTAGGTTTTCCTTCAGGTTTTCAAAAGAACTTTCCCCATTAGTAAACTACTCCTGCAAATTGCTATTGCATTTCCCAGCTAACCATTTAAAAGACTGTAAATGCCGTGTGCATTACTTCGCTCCAGAGGAAAGAGGTCAGACTGAATTGCTATGGTATTTAAACATAAAATACAGTGAAAATAAATCAAAATAGAGCATCTGAAGGTAAATTTAGCACATTCATATGGGATAAGTAAAGACAAATATGTTCAGATCTTCATAGTCCATCACTTTAAAAACTGAAAGTGCTGATTTTTTACAATAAATGCAGAAGTAAGTGGACATTAAGAATATATTTCAATCTGTATTTGCTACAGAGGGTTTTCCTTGAGTAAGCAGCTTTGTTTTAAAACTAAAATACTTTTTAGAATAACATGTAGATTATGAATTCCTTACTGAGTAAAGGATCATATTAACAAACTCAATGCATATCACATACATGCCTAAATTCACAACAATTCCCTGGATTTACAGAGATGGATATATATACATAAATGTTAATTTGGGCATATCACATATATGCCTAAATTCACAATAATTTCCTGGACTTACAGAGATGGAGATACACACACACACACACACACACATAAATGTTAATTTGAGCATATTCATCCACATATACACATGCATTATAGAAACTTAGAAGTTGATATATTCTTTCTTTAAAAAGAATTTGAATACAGTCCATCATCTGAATTGGGTTCATCTTTGATTGTAGAGCTGACATGGTCAACAAATTTATCAAAGAAACCCCCTGGCTTTTGAAGAATAGTACTTTATACATCTGGATCTGCACACCCAAGCAAAGTAAGTAAATTATTGCATAACTTTAAGCATAATTGATAACAGACACCTTTAATTTTTCATCCCCATTCTTTTGGCCAGCTTTCGCATTAATAATCTAAGCCATAAATGTTGGTAGCTATTGATCGAAATCCCCGGTGTGCATGCAAATCCATCTTAAAGTCCCCTGCCTTTCATGTGTGAGCGCTCAGGGGCCTCTGCTAGATCTTTTTATCGGGATCGACCCCCAATATGCCTGGAGAAGACCCCGGATATGCAACGTGTGCTGATGGCCACAAGAAAGCTGTCTGTCACATTCTCCTGTGTGTGTGTGTGTGTGTGTGTGTACACACATGCAGGAGCACCAGTGCTAGAACCTTCACACACACACACACACACACACAAACACACACAAATGATGGGAAGTTAAAGGAACAAAAGAATGTATTAGACAAGAAAAAAAGATGTGTAATAGGAGTATTAAAAATGTATAAGTGTAAAAGTGTCTGAGTGCACATACAGAGACACTGCATAAATAGTATATATAGACACATTTCCCAAATTGCTTAGTCTTTATTTTTCTCTAATTGCCACAACAAATTAATACCTACAGTTTAAGAAAATATTTAATATTCTACTAGTTTTGAAAGCCACATATATTGCCAGTAATTTAAAGGTGAAAAGAGAGGAAGGGAAAGAAGAAGGTAAATTTGAAATGGTTACTAAATCACCACGTTACTATGTGCAGGAGCAATAGGAGTGTGTGAGTGTGTGTGTGTGTGTGTGTGTGTGTGTGAATCTAAACAAGAATCAAGAACAACTAAAACTACCTGCCCTCCCCCTAAAAAAATGACGCTCTAGCCAACCTTTTGTAATGTCTTCTCAAAGGCCTTTTTGAGTTTACTATTTCTTAGCTGTTTGACTCTGGTCTAAATCTTAAAGCTGGGGGAGGGGGAGAATGGGCGGGGGTGGGTGGGAGGGAGAGGGCTGGCAGTATATAAGTGCATCAGGAGGAATTTTAAAACGACATGATTGTCCCTGGCAATAGACTCTGGTCATTCTATTTTAAAAAACAAACACCAGCATATGATATTCCTGGAAACTTCGCTTTCTGTTTAAACCTTGTGCATTTTGCCTCCTGTGAAAGTGAAAGAGAAAAACGCGGTGTGATAGATCCAGATGCAAAAGAAAGCCAACTCGGTGGATGGTATTAGCTGTGACGAGGCATTGTTCATTGCTGCCTCTCGGTTACGTTTAAAGCCTGAAATATCACGAGATCCATTCAATGATCCTTCCCTCATTCAAGGGACAAAAATGTAATTTGCTGTAGCTCTGATTTCTTGGATGGAAATGCTAGCCTTAGATTTCAAAGGCAAGAACTAGACATCGCGGTTTGTACACACATTGATTAAGTTGAAGAGCGGCGATTACATCTGTGCTGAGTGCAACAGTAGTCCAGGGCTGACTTTTCAAATCCCAGCCTCCTGAGTTACAGACTCTCTTAAATAGACTTCCTTAATTTCCGGATGTACTTCTTGAAATTCCCAATTCTCTTCAAAATTCCTAGGAAATTACAAGGAAGATGAAGGGTGGGGGTGGGGAACTATGGCTGAGATTTCATCTTGTCAAGCAAACTGCCTTTTTGTGTCTGATTCCTGATTTGGTTTTTGTGTTTGTTTGGTTGTTTGTTTGTTTGCCATACCTACTCCTGTTAGCCAGACCAGAGCAGGGAACCTGGAACTTTTGAATGTGAAGAAAGAAATTATTGTGCAATTTTTTTTTTCTTGCAGGCTCAGAAATATCCGTTTATTCTTTAACCACACGGATGTGTCTATTTTTGGAGGAAGAAGGAAACATAAATGCCTGGGTTGCATTTATGCTGTAGTTGCAAACATCGAGCAGTTAAGAAGATTTTACCGAATTTTGCAAAGCAGCCAACAAACCGCCTTGGGATCCTGGTAATAAAAGTGGAAAGAACCTTGCTCTCTTTTTGGCAATATTTTGGACATCTTTGAAAACGACAGCAAACTATGCCTTAATTTGACTAAGAAGAGGTTAAACCATATTGATATTCATCCAAAGTGATTTTGTTGAAGCAGATGCTTGGCTTTCATGGAAAAAATGGGAGTTGTGGAAGATTCACCTAAACTACCAACCAAAAGCATCACAGACCAATGAAATAGCCTGCAACTTACATCAGCACTTTCTTTTCATTGTTGTTACGTAAAACCTCTGGAAGCACCTTGGGCGTTTTACATTTTCTTTGCTGCAGAAGGAAGTAATCTGTTCCCTGGAATTCTGATCTGTCGTGAACAGGACCGTGGCAAAGGCTGTGTTGGGGACTCTTGGACATCCCGCCTACAATCCAGTCTGGTTAATTGTGAAAAGTGTACACATTTCTGGCTTATCTATGCTTTGTTATGGGTCTGACGTGAAACTACCTCCTCCCCACCCCACCCCCCAGCAGAAAACCGAAATCCAGTTGAATTGTTACACTGTTTCGGAGCTGGAGCCTTGAACTGTTTCCTTGGTCAAATAACTTTGTTTCTGGTTGTAAAAAGGCATTGGGGGGGGGGGGGAATAAGGAAAATCGAGAGAAATTCCAAACGTAAGTCTGTACTGGGGGCGGGGGGGGGGGGTTCACCGCGCGGTTTAACTTTGGAGCTCGGAGCCTGTCTCCTTTCCCACTCCCATAAGGGAAATACCAGGCTATTCTGCACATTTTCGCTTAAGCTCCATTTTCCAAAGGAAAAGGGGGTGGGGTATATCTATTTGGACTTGATAATGTTTAAAAAAATGCTTTTCTTTGAAACGATAATAGCTGTATTGGCAAAATGCAAATAAAGCAAAAATAGGCAATATTTCTTTAAAGGGGAATATACTTTTTTTTTTTAAGCCTACACACACTGCTTCTGATGAAGTCTGTGAGTCAGGCTGTTTCTGAGCTCCGATAGTTTAATGGAAAGATTTATATACCGACTGTATTATTTACTTTGGGAGGGGAGGTGGCAGTATAAGGGTATGCTAATTAGTAGGAGATTTTGGGGGGAAGGGGTGGAATATCAATTTTTATTGCATCACCTGTCAGGAGTGTCCAATCAGCGTTGGCTTTAGGGGAATTAATTGATGAAGGTGTCTCCGGACGAGCTCACTTCACTCTGTCATTTTATTTGTAGCTAAAGCAGCGGCGGGAATAGCAGCTGCATTTCTTTTCTCTTTCTCCCTTCACATTCCATTATCATAGTGCTCCAATGGAGAAGGAATAGAGGGGCCCAGGTACTGATCTGCATCGAGGACTCAGAGCAACACACTGGCAGATCAGGAACCGGATGGTTTTTTCCCTCTTTTTAAAAAAAAAAAACGAAAAAGAAAAAAAAAAAAAAGCAAGAATCAAGTCAGTGTAATTTCATGGGGTTTTTACCCCCAATAATTTTGCCTACAGTTTGGCACTCCCTTCGCCGGGAATAACAGTCTTTGTTATTTTATTAGCAGGATGCCTTGAGACACACGCAGCATCTGGCAGAGGATTAACATACATACATGTGTATGTATGCGTCACGTATATATTTACTGCAAATGGTGGGGATCATTTAGTGCCCGAGATGGGAGACCTGAAGTCAGGTTTTGAAGAGGTGGATGGCGTGAGGCTCGGCTACCTCATCATTAAAGGAAAGCAAATGTTTGCCCTCTCCCAAGTCTTCACAGATCTGCTGAAAAACATCCCGAGGACGACCGTGCACAAGCGCATGGATCATCTAAAAGTGAAAAAGCACCACTGCGATCTGGAAGAGTTGAGGAAACTCAAGGCAATCAACAGCATCGCCTTCCATGCCGCCAAATGCACGCTCATCTCCCGGGAAGACGTGGAAGCTCTCTACACCTCCTGCAAAACCGAGCGTGTCCTCAAGACCAAGCGCAGGAGGGCCGGCCGGGCCCTGGTCACAAAGGCGCCGCCGCCAGAGCGCGCCGCCGCCGCCAGCCCCCGCCCGGGGTTTTGGAAGGACAAGCACCAACTTTGGCGGGGCCTGAGCGGAGCCGCGCGGCCCCTGCCAATCAGCGCGCAGTCCCAGCGCCCCGGCGCCGCCGCCGCGCGCCCCGCCGCCCATCTACCTCAGATTTTTAGCAAATACCCGGGCTCGCACTACCCGGAAATCGTACGCTCGCCTTGCAAACCCCCTCTAAACTATGAAACTGCCCCGCTCCAGGGAAACTACGTCGCCTTTCACTCGGACCCTGCTTATTTTCGGAGCCTTCTGTGCAGCAAGCATCCGGCCGCTGCTGCTGCTGCCGCCGCCGCCGCCGCTGCCGCCGCCGCCGCCGCCGCCTACTACCAGGCGTCGGCTGCTGGGCCCCAGCCCAAGGCGGCGGCGGGAGCCGGAGGCCCGGTGAACCTGACCTACCGGTGCAAGCGCAAGCGCGGGGGCTCCAAGGACTGCCTGCTCGCGCCCCACGCTGGCGCTCGGCGCTTGCTGCTGCTGCCCAGATCCTACAAAGCCAAGGCGGCGGCTGCGGCGGCGGCGGCCGCGGCGGCGGCTGCCGCGGCTGCCGGTGCCACTTGCCTGGAGAGGTTTCATCTGGTCAACAGCTTCTGCCCGCCTCCCCACCACCACCACCACCACCACCACCACCATCACCACCACCACCACCACCGGGCCCAGCAGCCGCAGCCGAATCACCACCCCCCTCACCACCACCGGCCGCAGCCCCATCTAGGCAGCTTTCCCGAGAGCTGTAGCAGCGACTCCGAGTCCAGTTCCTATTCGGACCATGCAGCCAACGACTCGGATTTTGGCTCCAGTTTGTCCAGTTCCAGCAACTCTGTGTCCTCGGAGGAAGAGGAGGAGGAAGGAGAGGAGGAGGAGGAGGAGGAGGAGGAGGAGGAGGAAGAGGGGGGCAGTGGGGCCTCGGATTCCAGTGAAGTCAGCTCGGAGGAGGAGGACTCGTCCACGGAGTCAGACTCCAGCTCCGGCTCCAGCCAAGTGTCAGTGCAGAGCATCCGTTTCAGGCGCACCAGTTTCTGCAAGCCTCCCAGCGTGCAGGCGCAGGCCAACTTCTTGTACCATCTGGCCTCCGCTGCCGCTGCAACCAAACCCGCTGCTTTCGAGGATGCCGGCAGACTTCCCGACCTCAAGAGTAGTGTCAAAGCGGAGTCGCCAGAGGAGTGGAATCTGCAGAGTTGGGCCCCCAAAGCGTCTCCAGTGTACTGCCCGGCCATCCTGGGGAGTTGTTTCCCAGAGATAAGGAACGATAGGGTATCTGAGATTACATTCCCACACTCTGAAATTTCCAGTACTGTAAAGAGAACTGACCTGACAATTAACTGCCTGGCAGAGGGGGCCTCTTCACCTAGCCCAAAGACAAACAATGCATTTCCACAACAAAGAATACTCGGAGAGGCTAGGAAATGCCTACAAGCTACTCCTACTACACACTGTGCAGATAACAACACAATAGCTGCTAGGTTCTTAAATAATGATTCTTCAGGAGCAGCAGCAAATTCAGAAAAAGATTCCAAAATCCCTCATTGTCCTGAATTTGCTACGGATTTGCCCTCTTCACAAACTGATCCTGAAGTGGATGCAGCAGCACTAGCAGCAACTAAAGTGGAGAATCTGTGCACTGACACAGGCGACAAGACATTGTCATTTCTGCACAATATTAAAATCAAAGTAGAAGACAGTAGTGCTAATGAAGAATATGAACCTGATCCTGTTACAAATAAGCTAAAGTGCGAGTGCAATGATACAAAGGGTGAGTTTTACAGTGTGACTGAAAATAAAGAGGAGGACGCCTTGTTAACCACAGCCAAGGAAGGTTTTGCATGCCCTGAGAAAGAAACTCCTTCCTTAAATCCACTGGCTCAGAGTCAGGGCCTTTCATGCACTTTAGGTTCTCCAAAACCTGAGGATGGGGAATATAAATTTGGTGCCAGGGTGAGAAAAAATTACCGAACACTAGTACTGGGAAAACGACCTGTCCTTCAGACACCTCCAGTCAAACCAAATTTGAAATCAGCTAGAAGCCCTCGTCCTACAGGTAAAACTGAGACACATGAAGGAACACTGGATGACTTTACAGTTATAAACAGACGCAAAAAGGTAGCCAGCAATGTAGCATCAGCAGTGAAAAGGCCGTTTAATTTCATGGCAAATTTTCCTTGTCCACCATCACTCATTATTGGGAAAGATGGGGATTTGTGGCCAGCGTATTCTTTAAACACCACTAAGGATTCCCAACCTCCTCACAAGGCCCATCCTATATGGAAATGGCAGCTGGGCGGTTCTGCAATACCTCTTCCACCTAGTCACAAATTCAGGAAATTTAATTCATAAAAATGTTTTGGAAGATATTTTCTTGAACCATATTACCTTCCTTTTGTTGTAAACTGCACAGGATGGTTTGTACAAGTCCATTAATGGTGTTACATCCCCTTTGGAGTCCTGGTTTATCGCATTTTGAAGACAGAAATCGGATTACTTTTTTTCCATTGCGGGTTTTTTTTTTTTTTTTAAGTAGGGTGGGGGTGGGGTGGGAGAAGGGTTGGTTTACATACCACAGACTACTTCAGGCTAAAGACTCAAGTAAAACTCAGTTATTATGGTAGAGCTGGAACACTTTACTGTTTCAATACTAATAATGCACCGGTACCTCAATTCAACTGCTACAAATAAATGTCAAAAGGTTGAATAATAAATATTACAATGAGCCATTAAGTTTATGCACTAGATTTCAGATCTGAAAGTGTAACTGTTAATTCAGTGAAAGTTTGTTAGGTTACATGGTTACACAGTGAGGTAGCAAGAAGTTTCTGTGAGCCCAAAATGTAATTTTCTGGAGCTCTTGGTTGTGGGGTCTCTTTTTCTTTTTAATCCCCTCATTCCCTCTCCAAGAATAGTTGCACTTAACTTTTTAATTTTTTTTTAATGGAAAGATTGGGGTGTGAGTCCTGATTACTGATAAAAAGCTGCCTCAAATAGAATAAGTAAAATATGGGATTTTTTTTTTTTGAGTAAAAGATGTGATTTTAATTTTACAGCCCCTCCTTGCAATTGGAAAAGTCCTTTTTGTGTTCTCATCCAAATGTTTTAAATAAGATGACTTACTCTTGTCCTGCTTATCTTGTGGTCTGAACATGACTCTTCAAACTTTCAGTCTGATTAAAATATTTCTCTTAATAGCAAGATATTTTATGGTCTAACTCTTCATAGTGACAAAGTAGTAAATACAACCAAGAAAAAGAAAGAGGGGTCAGAGTTATAATACCCCAAATGAAAATGAACAGTTATTTCAGGGCTTTTGGTACTAGAACTCAGGCACTTGGATTTTATTACCTTATACTTTTTTTCTGCATCTCTAAACTTCTGTTTTCAGACCATCTTGTGTATACAGCAGGAGAGTTTCTACTGCAAGTGACAATCAGAGGTGACTATCTATATTTGCACTTAAAATCAAAGTAGTTCAACATGCAAATGGCTAGGGTCTAGCCCTTGGTAAGGGCCATGCTGGTGTACTGTGTTGTGATGATGGAAGCAGTAAATCAAAATTATGGAAATTTGCACTGTTGAAAAGCATGCTTTAGCTTTATTTTCAATTAAAAACACTGTTTAAAATTCCTGGTTCCATACATTTCTACTTATTCCAGATTGAAGAATGGTTAACAGGAATGAATGGTTTTGTTGACATTTTCACTTGTAATGTTTTTGCCTAAAAGAAATGCATTTATTGGGTGAAGTGTTTTGTTGTAATAGTTTGTGATGAGGCAGGTCAGGTTTTGTGCCTAACACTGGTGGGTTTTTTTGTTTTTTTTTTTTCCCTAAATAACAAGAAAATTTTACAAACTTGTTAAAAAATCAAGTACTAAAAGTTTCAGATTTAAGAAAGTAAAACAGAGATCAGTTGTTGTTTTAAAAGTAGCATCTAATAATTTTTTGGTCCATCTCACTTAGTATGACAAATTATGTATCTCATATCCTTGCTATCTTGAATCTAAGAAGTTGCATCTATAGATCATAAATCACAAAGCAAAACAAAACACCAACGAAATGTTTACTGTGTGAATTTAAGTCACAATTTCTCATGGAAATTTAATCTATTTCCCCCCTTTATCTTATAATTCCTATCCCTTTGAAATTTTCCTTTTGTCTATAAATGTTTCAGATAAATCTGGATGGTCTCAGCCCTAATTGCTGTATATGCTCTGTGGTTTTCCTCTTGTAAAGGACAGAAGCTGAGGATACCTGCATCCAAATACATTTGGATGGAGTAAACAGATGCTTTGAACTGTCTCCCTTCCTTTCCTTTTTGAATGTTGCCAGATGTAGGTTCACTGGATCGCTTTTTATTAGAATGGTAGATATAGTCAAAGCAAAAATTCAGGGTTGTTATCCTTAAATTCACGTTTGTATATAATTCCAAAGACCAGTCCATGTTACAGTTAAAGCCCCAGAAAGCTGAAAAATTGGCCTCTCAGTCTGAGTTCTTTCCTTTTTGAAAGGCAATACAGAATTTAGGTAGTGAGTTGTCCTGAAAAATGAATCTGTAAAAAGTGTGACACACATACTGGAAGTCTGTAATTTCTACTCTAATTACTGCTAAGTCAAGAAAGTTCAAAGTACAGTGACTACTACATTTAGACTAATACTTTCCTTGTTGGCTATGGACTCATTGTCTCTAAATTATAAATTGAGAATATATTTGAAGTCTACAGATCTTGGGTGTGGGAGGACTGTAAGATGGAATAAGCACAAATTAAAACAAATATACCCTATGGAATTTCTGACATAAAATATCAGCCTCCAGCTTTGACACTTGGTCTCTAACCCTCAGAGAATCAATAGTTTCAGTTTATAAGAGCTGGAGAATGAGCAGTATGGAGGCCGAGGCATTCCAGAGTGATACCATCAAAAGGAAAGAAATTAAATAGTCAACACAAATTTCACCCCACAGTATTACTATAAGCCAGCCAACCACAGCAAAACCTGAGTTAGGGCTTCTGTCAGGAAAGTGTACTAAATAGTATTGCAGTATATGGCAAATACAAGGTATTCTTTCAATTGCTGTTAGCCCCTTAGCTATTTTCCCATCCTGCTATGGGAATTATTCTCAGTACAGTTTATTTTATTTGGGTTGTCTTATGATTAATGGAAATATCTAGATTTTTCTAACATGCTATAAATGTCCTATTTGTTCAAAAGTTAAGCCTTATTGAGAGTAAAACAAAAATTACCTCCATTGATAGATTGCATTTTTACATTTAAATATTTTCAGGGAATAGATTTTTAAAAAAGTTATATGGCTCCAGGGTCATTGATTCCTGTGTCTAAATTAGCTCAACATTCATAGACTTGAGGAAAATGCAGGAAAAGCCTCTTTCTCTGACTTTTTGGGGAAACAAACTTGTTTGGTTTCCTATGAAAGTAATTTCCCAGTAACACTGTAAAGTGAAGATTTAATTATTTTTTTAAGAGATGTGTTGGACCTTTTTCCATAGTCAGGTTATCTGCCTTTACAGAAAATGCAGCTTGATCCCCCCCCCCAACTATTTACTTTTTAGAGTGGGTGTTCCCTTCTACTGGCTTACTTGATTACAGTGGAGTAATCTCAATAATGGTTGTTTATTTCAAAATCAACGACAAGGAGCCACCACTAAACAGCAATAACACAAAATGATGGGCTAGTGTGTGGATTTTTATCTTGTTCCAGTCTGGGTGACTTTCAATGGTCTACAAATTCCTCAAAGTTCTTGTCAACAAGACTTGGATTGGGAGTTTCTGCTGATATAAGAATGATAGTTTTGTTTGCATGCAGGAAGAGATGTAGAAGAAACTAATTCCTCAAAAGCTTTTTTTTTTTTTTTCCTTTCAAAGAAAAAAATCCTCCATGGTAAATAAAATAAATAAAGCATCAGCATCTACAAAAGAAAGAAAATGTGGTGAGTTTTGCTTCACCTTGAAAATAATTTCCTGCTGAAAGAGATGGGAGAAGAGGGATTTCCCTGAGCCAAACTAGGAAGAAGGAGGGAGGGAAAAAAAAAAAAAATTAAAGGCTCCCAATCAACTAACCTCAGGATATTGGCAAGGAGGAACAGGGTATCCACCTTAGCGAGTCTTCCCAGTCACCCCAGTCATCCCCAGGATTTTCCCCTTCACTGTGAGGAAGAACTATTTTTAATGCTAGCTTTGGCTTTGGTTTGCTCCCTAGGCCAAAGGGCACTTTGCAAACTCGCCTGGGGGGTGGGGATTTAGGGCAGATCGAGGAGGTGGGGGAGGGCTGCATTTTACCTGTTTGGCAGGCCCTCTTTTACTTTAAAAAAAAAGAAAAGAAAGAAAGGAAAAAAAGAAAAGAAAGAAAGAAAAAGAAAGGAGGGGGGCCCAGCTATCATTCTTTGCCCATGCCCTAGGCCCCCGCTACTCTCTCGCTCCTTTTCAAACTGTGGCGGCCTCACAAGCTCCTACTTTAAAAGGCCTGAGATGTTTTGCATGAAACCCTCACAATAGGGGTTGAGGGAATTGACAGTTTCAAAAACAAGGCGTTCAGTCCTTTCCAGCTGCCGGGCCGGCTCTCTCGCACCAACTCCTCGTTCCTCTCTGCTGGTGGCGTCCTCTGGAGCGCGCGGCCTCCCCCACCCCTCCAGCCTGAGCTCTGGCCAGCCCCACCCCGCCCCCAGGCTGTGTTTGTAAACAGGGGTCAGTGGTCGGGGCTGCAGGCGCGGGCTTTGGGCCTAGAGGCCTGTAAAAGGAAGGCAGGGGACAACTGAGCGGGCAAGGGGCTTGGGGCTTAGAGCTTCGAGGGGGATTTCGGGGTCCCATTGCCCCTCGCTAACCCCTGGCAGCCGAGTTCTGGGGGCCGCAGTGACCTAGACAGCCCTGGGCTCTCTGGCCCGTGCTACCGACACAAGAAAGATAGTTTAAGTGCCGCCATTTTGCACTGTGGCTAACAAATTTCTTTGTGACTCCCACCCCCACCCACCCAGATCTTGTTCTCCTCCGAACATGTGACCATTTTCCTCCCTGGGACAGAATAACCTGCACTCCAACTTGTCTAGCCTAGTGTTTTGGTCAGGCGGCCGCAAGGCCTGGAGCTGAGAGCTGCAGGGCCTGAGCCTCCTCCCGCGGCCTACCTTCTAGGACTGGAACGCCTCTCCTCACTTTGTACTCCTTTTGTGTGTCCTGAAGTCACCTCCCGTCCCCGCACACGCACAGGCCGCCCAGCTCTTTCTCACCTTCTCAACCAGCCTCATCTCTCCCTCCGAGGCAAATGAGGCCCAGTTCTTTGCTTTGGGCAGAGGGCTAGCCAGGCCTCCAAACTGAGCGTGTGGAACCCGAGTGGCAAAGGGACAGGGCTTCCTATGGGCCAGCCTGGCTGCGAATATTTCCTGGGAAGTGGCCCAAGACCAGAGACCTGGAGTGTGGTGAGGGCGCTAAAGCACTAGCTGGGTCCGGGAGAAACTCCTAAAGTGAGAGAAACGTGATGGGGTATCGCTTGCTTTCCTTGATGACATGGTTCTTGTCC